AAAAAAAAAAAAAAAAAAAAAAAAAAAAAAAAAACACATCTTAGTAAAACCAATACCTTCTCAGCTTCGCATCGAAGCTAAAATTAATGAGAGATTTTATTATCAAATTATTTCTTAAAATGGACTATACATTCAAACAGAACCAAGATACTATACCAGTAGTAAGAGCCACATAAATATGATGAACAACTTTCTTTAAAACCTATTATATTTTAGCTATGTCCTTTATATTATTAATGAATGTTTGTATTATCTTTTCTATATTACTAAAATGTTCAAATTGTAATGAGTAGCTTTCTTCTTCTAATAATTCGTTTTATATCGTCCAGTTTAGTTGTTTTTAAGTTACATCTTATTTACTATTTATTTTCTTGAATATAAATTACTAGATGGATGGTAGTTAGTCGCTACTATAATTTTTAATATTACTTTTTATTGAAGCAACTGTGCAATGTTTGAGATGATCAAATTGAGGTCAATGCATAAAAAGTCTCTCATTGGCGATAGTGGTGACTCGTGGATGCTGGTGGTGAGGATGCGACTTTAAATATAACACCGGTAGTGTAGGTATAAAAATTGTCAAATTAAATATAATAAAATAAAACACCTATTATATGTTATATAGGTCGCAGTAGAAAATAGAAATGAAAATAATAATAATAATAGCGATTATACTTTTATAACAACTGATAACGACAAGCAATTGATTCTAAAAATAAATTACCAATATAGTAGTATACTAATATTTTATCCTATGGACAACGCTGCTGCTCGTCCATAAGATCATAGTAAAATGAATAAGAAGTATGCTCGATCACATTAGTTTTCATGATTGGCCTAGGGACAAAATATGCAATCAACAATAAATACAAAATGACGTCACACGTATATATGTTGCGTTGTACATATTCTATACTAAGGGGCACTGCCCCAATTTAGCCTAGTATTTTAATAAACTTTTTTAGTAGATTTCGGTTTCAAATTTCATTAATAATTTTAGCTTCGATGCAAAGCTGAGAAGCTATTAATTTTACTATGTTTATTTTTTATGCCTCTGAACGCTCAATCTCAGGGCGTCCTGAGCAATACCTCACGGTAGTTCTAGGACGTTCAACACCATGTGCGACCGTGTTTAAAAAAAAAAACGCGCTATTCTACATACTATATCTGTATGACTTTTCCCATCGCTTATGATTTTGGTATGTGAAGTTTTGAACTGTCTCCATCAATATTGCATGTAAAGCTATGTTTGCATTAGTCTGCTGTTTGCTAAAAATAAGGATCTTAGTTTTACGTTGATTTATTAGCTTCGATACGAAGCTGAGAAGGTATTGGTTTTACTATGTGTTTTTTTTTTTTTTTTTTG